GTGTATTTCCTCCCAATAACATATGGTCAGGTTCTCAACTAACCTTCCCCAGTACTGTAATCCATTATTTTGAGTAATAAGATGTTCATAGAGAAGATCTATAAAATTAGGCATCCTTATAGGTCTTTCCTCTGAATTTTCTTTCTGTTCCATCTTTTCTCTTTTAAATGTACAGTCAGTAGCTGGGATACTTGGAAGGATAGTGAAGTATGTAATTTATATTTACTTCCTATGATAAATACGTGCAGTGTTTTACAAATTGTTGAAATTATCAATTATTATGAAAGATAAAAGAACTGAATCCTTTTAAACTTTCAGCATTTCTCAGGAATTAGTGGTAAGTTGATGGAAAAACATTTTTTAAACCAAAGTATCCACATCTTGGAGTTCAAGCTGTGCGATTCTTTTCTTTATTGAAATAGTGAAGTATCAGTTGTTCCAATGCTGTAATGAATTAAGCCACACTGGACATTAAACCCAAAAGCAGTGCACCATTAGTTTGGTCAGCAGATAAGACATTCCCTCATTTTCAACAGTTTTATGCTCCATCTACTGTTCCAGCAATCTCTTAGGAGCTATCCCAAGATAAATTAGTGGGTAAGGGCATCCATTTTCTAAAAATACTTGCAATATTTCCTGGAGACACTTCATCAATGAAATGATCAGATAAATCCAACAAAGAGATAAATACCATTCAGGAGAAAAGCCATCAGGCATTAGCACTAAGAGCCTCCCACAGGGCCACAGCTTCGTTAAGAAACCTCTTTACTGAGGGCCACATATTATTTTATTACAGTCTTCCCATTAGTGCACTGTTACTAAAAATAACTCAAAAGTACAAAGAATCATGAAATATTTCCAAGCGGCAATTCATGGGTAATTTCTGCATGCTATATTAAATTGATAAAGCACATTATTAAAGTTAACTGCTACAATTGCTCTGATTGTAACACATCACTTTATTCTTTGCATTGTTTCATTTTGATTACAACCAGAAAACTGTCAACCATTCCTTAATGGAATAAGAGTAAAGCACTTGCTGGTGAGCTGGTCTTCACCATGGAGAGCTCAGGGATTTTAGAGTGTGGGGGCGGACCTGTTGTGGCTCCCACAGCGGCTTTCCAGCTCTGCTACCTGGTGGGGCTGGGCCAGTCTGCATGCTTGCAGACAGTACTATTTTGCATGACTTTCGGTGGAAATCCTTGGGTCCCTGCTGAAGCCCATCTAAACACTCTCAGCTACTCTTCAGTCCTCAAGTCGCCCTCCAGCTTGCAGAGGTTAAGGTCCGCCTCCCTGGTTTACAGGGAGTTGCTCCCAGAGCATGGGGCAAACATACTGATTATTCCCACTCCAGGGCTACTCACTGCGGGCCTTCAGCGCCAGCCAGGGTGATCTAAGGACTTCGCATGCACTTTCCATAAGAAAATCCTGAACAGTAATTAACACCTGAAAGTTCACACATGCCCAAAACTTGGCGATAAATTTGCCCCACGTCTCAGGGTTTGGCTTTAGGATGAGTGCTGAGGGCAGGCTACAGATTCACAAAAAGGCGTATGAATTTATTTTTCCGTTGGCCCTTTCTCGCTCCCAGGTGTCCCGATGAGACAGAAAGGCTTTCAGGCAGTGCTGCGCTCCACCAGGCTAGGGTGAGGCACCGGGGAGAAAAAGTCATCGTGGGCACCTCCGGGAGCCTGTCATCAGTCTCCAGAGGCCGCGCGCAGATACCTTGCGATGTCACGGTGGCCCTGCTCCTCAGCCAGGTCCACGGGCAAGCGGCCCCAGGCGTCACGAACGTCCAGCTGCGCCCCAGCCCGGTGCAAGGCCACCAGTGTGTCCATAAAACCCTCCCGCGCGGCATCATGGACGGGTCGGGTGAGCGTGGCGGGGTCCGCGCAGTTGGGCTCCGCGCCACGGAGCAGCAGAAGCTCCGCCGTAGGGGCACTGCCCATCATCATGACCTGCGGGGAGGGAGCAGAGCGGTCAGCTCGAGGGTGCGGACAGCGAAAGGCTGTTCGCCTGGGAGGGGGGAATGAGGTGGGGGGCGGAGCCATTTGAAAGACTTGCGTGTCTACCCTGAGATTTCCCGGCAAAGCCGAGGCGCATCCAAGCCTTGCGGGTATCTGTTTCTCTTCATGTGCTGATGCAACCTCCCCTCTCCCACTTATACTCTTTAGATTCCATTTTATTCTCCAAATTAAATTCTATTTTATGCTGCAAACTTGCAGAAATAAGAACTAATAGCAAAGTAATTGTCATTGTGGTAAACATTCTTGATTTTCATTGGAACATGGGAATTCATTTTGTTAAATGATTTATAGGCAAAGTTAAGTTTAAGTAGCTTATATATATATTTTTTATTTTTATTTTTATTTATTTATTTATTTATTTTGAGGCAGAGTCTCACTATGTTCCAGGCTGGCCACGAATTCCAGGCAGTCCTCCTGCTTCAGCCTCCCAAAGGTCTGGGATTACAAGCTTTGTGTCACCTAGCCCGGCTTGAAGTAGTTTTTAAAGTCTTAAATTGTATTGCTTGCTGCTTTTCCTGCTCCCCTCTCCATTAATGTAAGTGTGAAAATATTTATTAGGTAGTCAGCTGGCATTGTGAAGATGTTAGATTAATGCATCAGGGGAGAAAATAACAAACATCTTAAGTTTTTTAAAAAAAAGATTCACTTTGTTTAATTCTCATAGCAATCCTGGGGAAGGTTTGCTTTTGTATTATTAAATGTGTCTGTGCTCATAAATAGACTGTAGTCTAATAATCTGAGCTAAAATTGGGGATTAGAGGGGGGAAAAGTAAATTAAAATGATTTTAAGTTAATATATGTGTGGGCAAAATTTTGAGTGCAATATATTTAATCTAACTAGTAAAATCACCACTACATTTACATTGTACAGGACTTAATAATTACCACTTTTTTATGTTAAGCAGCAGATACTTTTCTCCATAAAAAGAGCTTGGAGGTTAGCAGTTAGATCAGAATGATGTACAGTTTTTATTAAAAGCACAATGTTTGTAGCATCCATTTGTGTATATCTACATTCTGCAATCACTTGCTTTTATGTTAATAATAAAAACAATTCTTGATAACTAAATGTCAAGGTCAGTCATTTGTTTTGTAGGTTTACTTGCTTTCAAGAGTACGATGTAGTTGACAGGCAGTAAACGTCTAGTTTTTTTTTTTTTTTGCATTATGAACATAAAAAACTTTATTTCCTCCTTTAAAGACTATGGGAGCTCTAAGTTATCATTTCTAGTAATAATGTAAAGGCTATATTACACATAGAGGAAAGGGAAAAAGAAGTGATTCTTAGTATCTCAGAATATGGTGAACTAAAATTGTAAATAAGAAAACTTGTTTCTATAATTAATAACATTTCAAGTCTTTAAGAACCATTTTACAATATTGTTGTTGCTTTAAAATATCCCTTGTTTGTTATACCAGTTTTCTAAGGGCTTAAAAGGATTGGCACTTTCCTTAAAATGAACCTTATTAGCAAAACCCTTACCCTCCACTTAGTTCCGCAGAGTGATTGGGGTAAGCACCAGATTTGACCGTAAGAGTCAAAAGTAACGTGCAAAATCATCATCTCACATTTTAAAGGAATTAAAAACATTATTAATTAAAGCAGAACTATTAGTTGAAAATCTGAATGTGTATATTAACAATGGAGAGACTAATTTTTTATGAAAGTCCTTTGCCATCTAAAGGGGACCTAACAGTTGCTGTAGCGATAGTGTTGTATTTCAAGTACTGAGTGTGGTAAACAATCAAAAACTGCAGAAACGTATTTTTTCTTCTCTGCATCATTTAAGAGACACTGCTAAAGTAAGTATTGTGGTTGGGGAATCTTGTTTCATTCCTTTCAATTCAACTAGTCTTTATGAGGAAAAACCTAAAACATTTCATACAGCTGTTTAAAATTAAGTTCACGGTGAGTTTTTCATGTGATATGATTTTGCAGATTGCTTACATCCAGTCTAGATTGTGCAACTTGTAATTCACTTATGTTTATCGTGGAAAGTAGACGGACAAAACAGGCTCCTTCCCTGACTTTACCTTTTCCCCTTTCCTCCCCCTGAATCTCTTCCTTGCATCTCTGATAAGAAGGCAGAACAAGTACGGATTTCTTTTTCCATAATTAAAAAGAAAGCTAGGGCTAGGGATGTAGGTGAGCGGTAAAGCACTTGCCTAGTAGCCTCGTGCCTAAGTTCGATCCCGGGAACTGCAACAAACGGGAGCAATTTTTTCCCCTCTCCCTTTCCAACACCTTCCCGTGGGATTTCTGCTGGGCAAAAGCCTGCCTCACGCCTAAGCTCGGCTTGCCGCAGGAGAGACTGCTGCCCACGGTCGGGTCGGTGGAGGGCTGGGTGCCCGCCGCGACCCGCGCAGGCGGCCGCGCGCCCCCTGCCGGCGAGGCCCGGGGCCCGGCTACCTGGATCGGGCGCCTCCCGAAGCGGTTGACTGCGTTGGGATCCGCGCCGGCGTCCAGCAGCTGCCGCACCTTCTCCACTTGCCCTCGCGCCGCGGCGTTGGCCAGGTCCGCGTCGCTGCCGCCACCGCCGAGCGCGCCCTTGTCCTCGTCTCGCATGGCGCAGCCCTCGCACCCGCGGCGGCCCGGATAATGCACCGCCGAGCGACAGCTGGGCGACTCTTGCCTCCCCGCCCGGCGCGCCGCCCGCACAGGAGCGCCCAGGCAGCCAGCTTCTGTCCCTGTCGCAGCCTCGCGGAGGCGCGGCGGCCTTGCAGGGCCGAGGGGCCCGTGGTCAGATCCCGGCTTTTCCTGGCGCCCGAGAGCCCGCGGACCTCGCCTGTCCTTCCCAGGCAGAGCCTCGCGCGCTGCCCGGCTCCGGCGGCCTGGGGAGCCGGCTGGGAATGAGCTCGCCTCCCAGCTGGCCGGGCTGCCCGTCTCGCCCCGCCCCTTTAGGCCCCGCCCCCCGAGGCCGCGCCGCACCTCCCCCTGGGCTCGCCCGGGGGGCCGGCCCGCAGCCGGTGACGTCACGGCGGCGGGGGCAGGGCGGTCGGCCCAAGCGGGAGGTGGGGGTTGGGAGTCCGCCCAGAGAGTTCTGGGACGCATGCGCCACACGGTGCGAGGGAGCGGCTGGGCTCGCCCGCGACGCTGCGGACCGCGGTCTGGGGCGGCGGGGCCGCGGCGCGAAAGTGTGGGCTGCGCGCGCTCGGCTCCTAATCCCCAGCAGGCGGAGCAGAGGACTTCTATTCTTTTAGCGCACGGCCAGCCAGTTTTATTCTGGAGAAGTTAGTCGTTCCCCTGCAGTCGAGAGGCGGAGGGAAACCCTTTGAAAATAACTCCCGCTGGATGGAACTCTCAGAAAGGGGCGGCCCGCGCCTGTCTCGCGGAGCGAGCGCGTCCTCGCAGTGCGGGGGCTTCGCCAGCCTCGCAGCCTGCGCGACAGTTTTCCCCTGGGTGTGTCTCCTCTGAACTGGCCGACCAGAAAAATAGTGAGAAAAGCTCAAGAATCCAGTTTTGCATGTACTTTTAAATTCTTTTTAACGTTGAATTACAGATACATTACATTAATAAATAAAAATACAGCAGGGTCGCGTGAGTCTAGGAGTTTGAGGTCAGCCTGACCAACGTAATGAGACCCCATCTTAATAAATAAATAGCATAAACAGACAGAAAACCCAAACAGCAACGCCAGAAAAACTAAGATCGCAGTTTCATCTCATGGTATTAGTACAGTGATTCTTTCTTTGTACTTTTACCTATTTAAACTCACATCAGCACGTATTTGGTTTTTATTTATCATGAGTAATAAAAGGCATTTATACAGTATTAATGAAACGTAATAAAACACGGGTGTGGTACTGGGCCTGTCATTAAACAGGCTGAACCTGTCATTAAATCCTCTTCTGAAGAAATAAGGATTAAGTGCTCCTTTTCCTCCTGATCTTCCTCAGTGAGTTTGACTCAACATATGTATTGCTTGAAAGATTCAAAACACTACAGCTGATATTACATGAAATCAGAAGAGACCCAGAAGTTATGTGTTACCTAAAAACGGCACGGGAGCGGCCCTCTCCACACTGAACACTTCCTTACACGATCACTTGAGTGCTTAGCTTAACAGGGAGAACAATCCCTTTTTTATTCCAAACTCAGAGCACATATTTTTTCCAACAGATTTTATTTCAGACTTTTCCCTGAAGAAGGCTCACTTGTCATGGGAGTGGCGTTGGTGAGGATGGTCTACTCCTTGAACCTCAGTGAGGCTGAAATCTAACGACACGGGGAAGGGGACAGTATTGATTCCGACTTCTCCCTTGTTCCTATCTTGCCTCCATATCTTAGTTTTCAGCTTCTTAATTCCTTTAACTTTTACTCTTACTGGAACTTCCACACTCATCTGGAGGAAATGTCCTTTTATAATTGTTGACGACTTCATTTTTAAGTTTGGGGAGAGAAGTAAAAGTCTCTTTGCGAGAGAAAAACATGGACAAGCTGTTTTTGTCCGTCTTGGGAAGTAGTCATCAGACACACTGTAGGGATTACAGGTGCTCAGGCAGAACGAGCCGAGGAAGAAGAAAGGTGAGTAGTGGGAAACCAGGGCCTTTGAAACACATGGCCTTGGTGTTTTGCCAGCACACGAGAGGCTGAGTCATCAGACTGACGTTAATGGATGTGATGACAAATGGCTATTTCCATCAGCAAAGCCTGACTACTTCGCAATTTAGGGCGTAGTCACATGTAACGCAGAAGACTGACTTTTAAAACTGTTGTTGGGACCTTCTCTCTAATGGACCCAGTAATTAAATTTAGTTTAGTAGAACCTAACTCAACATGTCCTACATTCTAGGAGTCCACAGCCGAGTAAGATGTGGGTCCTAGCTTTTAAGACAGTCTCCACAATTTACTAAAAAACTAGGCTTAGAGGTCCCACTTGACCCTCTATTCCCCATCTGGGTATCTTCCCAGAAAAATTAAAAATATCATACTGTAGTGATATGTCTATACCCATGTTTATAGCAGCACAATTATAACAGCATGTTATAGCACCCATGTTTATAGCAGCACGGTTTATAATGGCTAAGTCTTGGGAACAACCCAAATGTCCATCAACCAAGGAATGAATAAAAGAGATGTGGTATTTTTATACGATGGAGTACTATTCAGCCATAAAAAGGACACACTTGAGATAAGTAAGTGGATGTAACTCAAGAGCATCCTCATAAGTGAAATAAATCAGACCCAATGTGTAAACACTGTATTGTCTCTCTAGTGTGAGAAATTGAACAACTAAATAACAACCAAAATGTACAATAAATATTGTGGATTGGGAAGAAATTGCTCAAAAGACAAGAGAAACTGGGATGGAGGAAAGGGGAAACGAAGAGAGGGAAAACAAAAAAATACATATATACAAGATAGTTAAGATAGTTATACAGCTAGTTTCTCTTAGTTCATTGAAAGGAAATGTTTGAACTAATATTGTTTGGACAATATTTCATGCCTATATCTTGTTCTCTGAACAGCTACAATGAAGATAACAATATGCAATGTATTATTTATTGTTACTGCTGTTATCCTGTTTTGAAACTCTGTTTTATTGCTATTGTTATTTTTATGTTTTTTTTTTCTTTTTAAAATAAAAAAAGAAAGCCTCCACAGTGGCAGTAAAACCTGACAGAGAAGTTCAGTTTAATACAATAGCTTTACTGACAGATATATCGGTCTGGATGATCATTTGAGGTTAAAAAAGGGGGAATAAATAAAATTTAAAAGTAGGAGGGAAACAACTTAGGGTAAAGGTGCAGGGAATCTTTTAGAATAGGGATCAACTGAGGAATCTCTTTAAAAGATAAAATCAGAAATGATCTGGTTCCTATGCTCTCACTTTGAACTTTGAGTTTCTCTGAAGCTTAAAAAAGGCAGGAAAAGATAATGTGAACTAATTTTGGAGCCACTTCCTTAAGTGGTAGGCATGGCCCGTATGTTTGGAAAAAGTATTGTTCTTGGATGTGGTGGTGCATACATGTAATCCCAACACTCTGGGAAGCTAAGACAGGAAGAATTCAAGTTTGAGCCCAGTCTGGATAACTTGGTGAGAACTTGTCTCAGGTAGAACTATAAAAAGGGGATTGGGAATGTAGGTCATTGTGAAGGCCCTGGGTTTAACCCCCATTATCACATTAGTTAATTAATTCATACAAATAGATTGGAGTTGATAAAGGAATGGAAGGGAAGCATTTTTATTTGAAGCAGACATGGAAGAAATGTAGTAAGACAGGGGAAAAAAGCAATAAACAGAATAACTGGGCACTTTCCAAGAGGCAGATATGTGAACTTCATTTACCAAGGTGACTGAAAAGAATTTTGCGCAGGAGAAATGTTACCAGGGCGAGCCCAGATGCTAGCACCACGGACAGCGCCTCGCCTTTCCACTTGGCTGGGTGGTCCTAACCTGCTCCAAACTGAGAATCTAGAAGCTTCAAACTTGATCTTCCAGTGCTTTTATTTCTTCCTCCTTTGAAATAAAGATGAAGTTACATAGAAGCTCAGTGGGCTTGTTTGCAAAACCAACCTGTTCAAACTAATTTCCCAATATTATTGAGTTATCTAATATTCTTTCTATAAAGAATAGTGTTTTGTACATTTACAAAAAGAGCAGAAAATCACCCTTCTTGCGTAACTTGTTCCAGGTATTACTTTACCTAATTTTCATAAAACTTTTGGGCAGCATCCCTTAATATCTCGGTTTTACAAATTAGACTACAGGATCAGAGAAAGCTGTATACTAGCTAGTGATGGTTGGAAGCGGGTCTAACTTGTGTGACTTCAGAGCCTCTGTGCTTAACACTAAACAGTATATAGCAGTAGATGTAGAAAGACTAACTGGAAACAAAAGCAATAAAATGGGTCATAATTAATTTTCTACATGGTGTTTTCCAGATAGCTCACTTCATAGCAAACATTTAATGGACTTAAAAGATGACATTTCATATGTAATACAGTAGCACACTTGTCCTGGACAGTTGAGTGAGATAATGAAACATTTACTTCTGTCTGCAGCTCAGATGTCTCTAGGATGAAACACAGTCTGTTGTTAATGTTTTAAACGTAATAAGATGAAGTGGGTGTAAACACAGCTGAAACTTGGAATTATTACAACCATGTTTTTAATAAGGTGCAGAATTTATAAGTTGGAAGAAAGAGAAAGTAAATAGTGATCTAGATTTGAATTTTACACGTAAACAGAAGGAAATGAGAAGACTCAGTTCAAGTATATGATGAAACTAGTTGTAAGTTTTATGTTTTAGTTAGTGACACTAGAAATAAAATGTCTCTAATAGTATGAATAGAATTAGTTAAGTGGACAAGAAAAGTAGTGATATACTCGTGTCCTCATTTTTGTGTTCTTTTATATATGATTGGATCTAAGGCATTTCCAGGTGAGGAGAGAAGGAAGACAATATATCCACTTGTATCTTGTAACTGTTAGACTTAATTGCCAACCTCACTGGCTTGGGAGGCACCTAAGAAATTAGAAAAGCACACTTCATGGTGTGTCTGGGTGGGTCACAGAGATGTGGCCTGGAGGTCTCTATCTGGTCGCTGGCCTCTTCTCATTGTTCCCCAGCTCTGCTTTCTGGCCAGCATGAACTAAGCATCTTTGCTCTGCCATAACCTTCTACCATATTTCTGCCTTGGAGTCAACCAGCTATGAACTGAATACCCTGAAACTATAAGCCAAATTGGTCCTCGCCTTTAAATTGTGGATGTGAGGTTTTGTTTCCAAGTGGCAGGAAAACTAACATATGTATCTCCATGGGTTTCTTGAATTTAATCAAGTAGTAGCCATATACATCATTCTAACATCTGTACTCGTCTGCTAGGGCTACTGTAACAGAATACTACAGTCTTAGAAGTTTAAGAACCAGAAATTTACTTTCATGCAGTTTTAGTTTCTCCCATAACTTCTCTTTCAGCTGGCTACCCTGTTACTGCCTCTTCAAATGATTATCCCTCTGTAGTGTCTCTTTTTTGTCTCCAAATTTTCTTCTCTTGTAAGAACATCAGGTATGTTGGGGGGGCCCATTCTAATGACTGTATTTTAACTTAGTCATCTCCTTAAAGATGCTATATCCAAATATAATTGCATTCTGATGTCCTGGCAGTCAGAATTTTTACATGAATTTTGAGGAGACACAAATCATCCCATAACAGCATCTGTTCTAATTTTTCCAAATGTAGATTTTTATTTCTTTATAAACTGATATTTCTAGTTTATTTTTTGAATAAGGTTAAAAATCAGGTTAGTGCATTGAGATTACTTAAAATTGATACCACACCCCTCTCTAATGTCTCAGTCCAATTTCTCCTTCTCTCCTTCCTCTCTTCTTTCCTTTGAATTTACTTATATTTTTGTAAATTGGGTTATTCTGTAGTTCTCTGAAATCTGGGTTTTCCTGAATGATTCTTCATGATTTTCATGATTTTTGTCTGTTACTTGTGTTTCTTGTAATTTTATATTTAGAGCAAGAGTCTGGATTTGAGTCTACTGTGAATATTTTGGCCAAAATATTTCATAAGCAACATTGTATTTCCACCAAGAGACACAAAACCTGATTTTCTTTCTAAGGTTCTACAAATCACTGATAATTATTTCTTAGATCTGTTATTTCTTTAGGGGTTGCAAAATGGTGATATTTTAATTTGACCATCTCTTCATTTACTAGCTAGAATATTTATACAGAGAGAGTTTCCTCATCATCTACTTGAATGCTGCACTCTGGTTTCTCTTCAAATCAAATAAACCTTTTGCCTTTTACTTGAATGCTGGGTACATACAAAAAAGACAAAATAAATACTATATTTTTAAATTTGTTTAGAAGCTTTTTAGACAATAGGTTGAGTATCTGGCACCTTCCAAAGATAACTGATGATTTAAAATTTATTATTGTAAATGTATGGATTTAAACATAACTGGTGTGTTTCAGTCTATAATAGTTACTATTTCTATTGATACTTAAGCCTTACATCTGGCTAATGGAAGCTTCTGCATCTTTTTTGATATGACCCCACTGGTTTTCTTTCAGAAGTTTTGATTTCTGATGTGACAATATATTCCAATTTTATCCTGTATAATTTTTGTCCTATACATAGTATTTCTTTCTTTCTTTCTTTGTTTTTTTTTTCAGGAACCGGGAATCAAACTCATGACCTTGCACTTGCCAGGCAGGCGCTGTGCCACTGAGCTAAATCCTCAGCCCCCTACATATTATTTCTTAAGGGAGCACTTATTGTTTCTTTTAAATGGGATATGACCACAATTTGAGTCCTGGTGAAGTTCTTTGTTACCTGTTTCTAGGCCTTTATTTTCATCTGCAAAGTGTAATTAGTTGCATAACTTGGAATAATTATTTTACACATTTTTTATTTATACAAATGTCCAGAGGGTTGTTAAAAATTCAGTGGTATGGACCTTTGGCCCATCTATCAGCAAGGAGGGCCTCCAAAACATTGTTACAAGTAAAAATAGATCTGAAAAATATCCCAAATCCCTTATGAATAACTTTCTTTGAAAAGAGTATTTAGATGATTTATGGATAGATGGAGATGGGATCAAAGAGTGATTTCACTATACAATCAGGGCTGATGTGTCCCTGTAAGCCATTTACCTTCTACCTTAGCGCTCAGGGTTTCTCTTCCACTCAACTCAATTCAGACTCTGTATGCTGGACAGTTTGAACTTACCCACGTGTTCATGCAGGGTATATTTCATTTAGACATATAATAATTTATTTTCTCATTTTATCAATTTTTTTCCTACCATTGAAGCTCACTATTTAATGCTGTCATACATAGTTCAATTATAGCAGAGGTTTCATGTCTAAAAATCAGAGCAAAATTGACTTGTTTACTGTACAGTATCAGTAGTGTCCAGTTCTTGTTTGCCAGAGAAATTTAATGAACTATATACCTAGTCATTAAGCTAATAAATTATGCTGAGATGTTGTTATGTATTTCTTCGTTAGCTTACAGGCACTTTAAAACAAAAGAGCCTTCTAAAATTAAAGAAAATTAACAAGCCGCTGCATGCAAAGCGGTGTTGCATTCATAACCAAACCTAATATACTCCTAAAATGACTTTATGCCCAAGTTTAGACATGTTCATTAAAAGAGTAATGTGGGAGTCAATAATTATTTGTGAGATTAAGTTGTACACCCATACTCCCTCTAATATTAATGTTAGGCTAGGATCAAGTGCTCTTCACAGCCTTTGCTATTGCAGGTGGAATATTGTGAGGGGAAGTGAATGGTTGAGTTAGGTTTAAATGTTTTCTCTAACTTGAAATGATTTCTGGGCATTTAAACACTTAAAAAATAAGCTTAATAATCAAAGAATTTGTAACCGTACTTTTTCTTATTTTTCTTTTGAAAATCATTGCTTAGCAAAAATTACATATGAGAGTTCAGCTTGATTGTGTCAACTGGATGGGCTTGGAAGCCACCCAGGGCATTGGTGGAGTACACTTCTAGGTGCGCCTCGGTGGATCATAGTGGTGTGACCTTGGGTACTATATCTGACCCCTCACCCCTTCCCCTTTGATGCTGTTCCTCTGTTTTATATCCTGGCTACTGTGAACTAAGCCACTTTGCTACACCATGCCCTTCTGCCATGATATTCCAGTCCTGTGGGTCATGGACTGAGTCCCCTGAGCCCATGAGCTAAATTAACCCTTTGCTTAATTGTATTTTATTTTGGATAATTTATATGTGTCTGATATAGCATATTTCCTCTTTAGAGCTTTTGCGTAAAACACATTCATGGGCTGGATGTGTAGCTCAGTTTTAGCGTGCTTGCCTAACATATGCAAGGCCCTAGATCCAATTCCCAGGGACAAAAAAGAAAAAGAATTATATGAAATATTCTGATTTTTAAATACTCTTTTTAGTTTTAGGAAGATTCTTTGTTAAAAGGCAAAACTATAGTGGCACATGGCTAAACCCCAGCACTCTGGGAGGCTAAGGCAGGAGGACTGGAAGTTGACCTCCAGCCTGGGAAACTTCACAACTTAGTGAGATCCCATCACAAAATAGAAAATGAAAGAAAAGGGCTTGGGAATGTAGCTCAGTGGAAAGGCCCTGGGTTTAATCTCCTGTACTGGAAAAACAAAAACAACAAAATCAAACATACAAAATAAACAAAAAATAAAAGCATGTACACACACAAACACACATACACATATCTTAATAGAATTAACTGGCTTGAAGATTTAATAAATCTGGTATGTTATGGATTCCATCTTGCATTTAATCTTCTATCTTCATTAGTCATTGTGAATTGAGATTTGGCTTTTTTTTTTTTTACCTCATCTGAAATGGTGGTTGTTGTTTAGCATAGGAGAAATTAAATAATTATTGAATTTGTAATTTTAATAATAATTTAATTTAAATAATAAGTAACTGTCTAGCTTAGGAGAAATTAAATAATTAACTTTTGCATTGCTATATAAACTACAC